ATTTGGTAGTTAAGATTAGTAATTTTAAATATAAATTAATAACTATGTTCAAATCAAAATTAATTTCAATTATTTTAATTTTATCTAAATTAATTCAAATATTTAAATTATCTAAACCAAAAGTTAAAAATTCAAATAAAAAATTTATTCTCCCTTCCTCGCCCACTCCCTCCAAATTTCGAAACTCAAAAACAAAAACCCCAAAGCCACCACCGCCTCAACCACAACCATAGCCAATCAAGGCCTCATCAACAGTCTCATTTACGGCCAAGATCGAGGATTCAAGACTTAGAAATTCCCCATCAAACATGATGCAATCTCCAAGTCCTTGGATGCCATGGTTCTCCTCCACATGGCGGCTTCTCTGGACCACAGAGGAGGAAGGCTTATTCGTTCGGCACTCAAACCGGCGGCAACGTCTTGTGGGAAATCGACGTTACTAAATTTTAGGTAAGAATTTTGTTGTTCTGTCCTGGAACATTTAATTATTGTGATGAAATTTGATTCAAAGTGTTTCTTCTTCAACTATAAGATTTACGATTATTTTCTAAAGGGAAGAAACTGAGAGATTCCATTTTCGCCATTTAGGCAGGGTAGTAAGCGTCGGTACATTCTGCATTTACTCACTGTTTTTTTGTGAATTTAACTACATCACCAGTGGTTCTAAGTGGTTTTATCCATGATGTTTAGTTCAATGATTAATCTACTGTTAGTTGTTCTTTGACTGTTGCTTTATGTTACCAATTTGGAATTATCTTCAAATTCGTAAAACTTGTTTCATTCTCAAGACAGCATCAAAATTTGGATCACGTCAATTATTTATGCTGGTATGACACCCCTTACTGGTGATGCCCACTCTGCTCAGTCCTCACAAGCATTTTACTCGTCTTTTTAAATTCAATATCCCTTGCAGCAGTTTTGTTTATATATATCCCAGCCTCATCGCACACATGTTAATTTTACTATAAAAAAACGTAAGACTAGTCTACGAAGAGTATCTCATAACTAACATATATATATATATATAAGAGATTAGTATTTTTTCGTTTTATTTCTCAAAAAATAAGAAGGAAAAAGATAAAAATTATTTTAATACATGTTTTAAAAATAAAATAATTTAATTTTTTTTAATAAAAAATTATTAAAATGATATAATTTTAAAATAATTTTTCTTATAATCTTTAAAAAAAAAAGCTGACGGACATTTTTTCTTATATATAATACATTCTTAAAACAAACCAAGAAAACTATAATTGTTGAGGTTGTAACGGTAAAATAGAAAGAGGACAAAAAAATTGTTGAGCGAGCGAAATTTAAACCCCCAAAGGCCATAATCGTCATTTCAAAATTCAAATATTTAAGGTTCCCAATTCTTTCAAAATGACGAAAAACAACTGCAACCAACCTGTGGTCTACCCTTTTATTTATTATTTATTATTTATTTTGTTTTATTTAAAAAAACCATTTTAACAGTTTAAATATTATAATTTTTATAAAATTATTTAAATATTATTATTATATTTTTTACATATTAATTTATTAAATATATATTAATTTTTTATTATCATATTTTGACATTTTAAATAACTTTAAAATGTTTTAATTTTCTTTAACTTTATATTTTATTTACAGGAGGAGTGTTTGTCTACTTTTATCTTTTAAAGATTAAAAAGAAAATTATTTTAAAATTACATAATTTTAATAAAATATTATAAAAAAATACATTAATTTATACTTTAAATATAAAATATTTTAAAATTTTTAAATAAAAATTTATTAAAATAATATAATTTTAAAATAATTTTTTTCTTAAATTTTAAAAAATAAGATAGATAATACTATTTCTTTTATTTATTTTCATTTTCCCCGCACCTCTATATATTTATACAGCAACCTTGCAATCATTACTGATTACTCTTTTCTGTTACTTCTTTCTTCATCTTCCGTCTCTCTCCGCCGCCTCGGAGCCTTCAACAATGGTGGATCTTCAGACTGTTTGTTGCATGTGTGGCGACGTCGGCTTCTCCGACAAGGTCTTCCGCTGCAACAAATGCCGCCACCGCGTTCAGCACTCGTACGCCCGCGCCTTCTCCCGATCCTTCCAAATATTAATCTACATCACATCCATCGCCAAACCATCATCATAATCATCGCCAATTTTATGTATATAGAGACATATATAGACATACAGCATGATTAGTTTTTAAAATCTAAACAATCAAAATTAACATTTAAAAACTAAAATTAAAAATTAAATTACTAATTTGTTCGGTACAAAATTTTAAAACAAGAATTCAAAACCCCAAACTTAATTAATTTATAGAATAATTTAATTTTATTTAAGGATTTGTAATTTTTTTTTAAAAAGCTAAAACTAAAAACTTAATATCACAAACTATACTAAATGAAGGGTTAAAACACTATTTATTTTTAAATTTGACCATTTAAAAATTTAACTTATACAGATTAAAGTTTACAATAAATATTAAATACAAATTTATTTAGAAAAGTAACGTAAATTCGTTGCCACTTCTTAAAGTATGTAATTCAAACATGAGATATTAGGCCGCCAAGCTTGCAGATGTTGGTCTCACCGCGTGTAAAAGGCCTTACGCATAATGCTGGGGCCTACAAAAAGCCAAAGGAGCGAGAGGAATTCAATACCATCTGCTAGCTGCTTAACGTGATTAATGTGATGACTTGAAAAAGCTGCATAGAAAAGCATCTCCGTCCAGACATCCCTAATCATCTCCCATTTATTATTTGATTGCTTTAAAAATGTGGCTAATTTCAACACATCTCCTTTTAGGTTTTCAAAAGTTTCCTCACTGCAGCTTAAGAAAAAAAATGAAATTTTAGAAAGAAATAAAACTACTTTAATTCTAATTTTATAATTCTATGAAAGGAAGAAATTAAAGACATCAAACCTGGATTCAAGCTCCTCTTCATAAACATTATCTGGATTGGGCAGTAATGCGGAAGCAGCATTGCTGATATCATCAGTTGCACGAAACAAAAGTTCTTTGAGGTTGTCATAAGCATGATCAAGCCAAAAACTCTTACTATGCTCGGACAATAGCAAGGCAGGACGCATGGCCAGTAGATACATCATGTAATCTGATAGATGTTTACTAATTTCCATGATTTCATCATGATGATTATCCTGTTGAAAGTAGCAAACACTTGTGGCAAGGTGCCATATTATGATGCTGTGATCAAACTCCAATTCAATGCTCCATTTTAGTTGATCAAATTGTTGACATTTCTTCAATGCGTGATCTCCTCTTGTTGCCTTTAAGGGTTTATCTGAATAGATTGCAGAGACGACGTCATAGTAAGGTCCTGGTTCTTTGAAAAATCGTGGAACTTTCACAAATTTAGTAAACCAGTATTTGTGCCACATTTCAGCAATTTCACTGCCAATGGTGATCTTCGGTAGAAAGCCATGTGATTGGTTTGCCTTCCTTTTCTTGTAACGCCAACAATATTCCAACAAATCAAATTGACCCATCTGTTTTGACCACCTTTTACTTTGATGTAATAAGCAAGGGAAGTACTTTGAGGTGATCTTAAATATTCTACGTACTAACACATTGTGATGAAATTCTGCAACAAGAATTGCCCAATCAGAAGAAAGCATTACCCATGCTGCATAAAGTTCTTGTGCAATAGCTCCACTCAATAAGATGCCAGTTATGGCAATATCAATTCTTGAGCCACGGAAGTTTGGCTCCTTAATGATGTTGATAAAGAAAAGCACCAGAACTGAGAAAGAGCTAGTGAAACTGGTGAGGCGTAAGAAGCATCCTAACTTGGTGTAAATCAAACTAGCTTTGGTGTAAACAACATCAAACATTAATCCTAGTTGAATAGAGCTCCTTTTCAAAATGAATTCAGACCTCCCAAATATATAGCCTTCTACAGACTTCCAAGCCCTTTCACTATCTATACCTGTAGTGTTCTTGACATAAGCTTTGATCCTTGCTTCAACATCGGAAAAATTTTCGGAGGGGAGGTAATCATTAATATCCGGTCTCATAATTGTGAAAAATAGATAAGCTGACAAAAGGATTGGGTTTTCTTTACGAAGGCGATCAAAGGTTTGATTCTCATTGGGATTAGAATGACCTTGAAGATTAAACATATTAGAAATGATTGGTTTTGTTTTCTGTGAGTTATTTAGCTTGAGACACAATATTTTCTCTACATACTTAATAATTCCAGCTAAGATGAGAGGGAAAGTCAAAAACGAGAGCCAAGAAAAAGTCCACGACAAACAAACGACATAAATGACAAAAA